TGGGATCTTCTCAGTAAATGTTTGTTGGCATGGTGAAGGACGCTAAGGGGAAAGTAAAAACGCAGAATTTTACAGTGAAAGTGGCTAGTGATAGGCAGTTTAAGAAACAGAAAAATGTGACGTTTTCTTCCAGATCATTTTCAACTTGTCTCAGTAATAGTTTCTGAAAATATGCCGCCCATCCCTTTTCAAGCAGCACTTACCTGGATGTCAAGCATAGAATTTCATCACTCAATGGGTATGAGGACCGTGCGTTGCCAGGCTCTGGACAAAGGAACCTGCCCTTATACCTGAGGACAGCTTTTGTATGTGCACCCATGACAAGTGTCTGTTGACTGATTCAAAGTTCTTGAGCATCTCAGTGAGGTTGTGTTTACGTGATGTAGTGTCAGACTCCAAGCTGTCTCCATCAAATACAGAAGTGCTGTAAACACAAAATACTTTAGTGAATTACCAGTCACTCCTGATAAGTACCAGCCCAAAAGCTGGTAATGATAGCCAGGCTCAGCAGAACACTCACTGTGCGTTATGTGTTTGTACTTACAGAATACTACTCAACTCTTAAGGGACTCTGCATAAATGTAGACTCTTCAGATGAGAATTTAGGGATCCAATGCGTTCTTCCAGGTGATAGTTGGCAATGAATGGCAAACCAGGGCCTGGTTGGTAATGAATGGCAGACCAGGGCCTGCCTCAGGCAACCTAACTTCAGAGCTATGCCTGAGGTTTGAAAACCATGCCACCCTACACCCAGGACCTCAGTCCTTATATGGTTGTGTTCTAAAGTACACACAGGCCTTTTTCTTCTTCCTCAGTTGTTTTTAATAGAACTCTATTTTCATTTCTGAGGCCATTACAAACTGTCCTGACAACAAGGAGTTGATTTAGCTTATAATTAAATCCAGGTTACAGTCCATCGCTGAGGAGGTTGTCAGGTAGGAACTTTTTAAAATCAATTCTTTATTTTATTTTTGTGTATGTGAGTGTATTGCCTGCGTTTTAAGCGCACCCATGTCGTGCAGTGCCCACAGAGGTCAGAGGAGGGCACTGAATCCCTGGAACTGGAGTTATGGACATTTACTAGCCACCATGTGGGTGCTGGGACCCAAACCCAGGGCCTCTGCTAGAGCAGCCAGTGCTCTGAGCCGCTGAGCCGTCTCTCCAGACCCTCAAAGCAGGCACTTGAAGCAGTCACAACACAGCCGCAGTCGAGTCAAGAGCAGGGAGAACCCAACGCACACCCTGCCTTGCTTACTTGCTCCCAGCTAGCCTGGTTCTCTTTTAAACAGTCCAGGATTCCGTACCTAGGGAACGGTGCTGCTCACAGTGGGCAGGATCTTTCCACACCAATTAACATAATCAAAATGACCCTCCACAGACATGCCCATAGACCAACCTGATCTACAGAATCCCTCGTTGACTTTCTTCCCAAGTGAGTCTAGGTTGTATCAAGTTGAAAGTTAAAACTTGACCAGACAGAAACTGAACTTTTTAAAACTGTATTTTTATTTTTTATTTTTTTATGTATATGACTTTTACCTGCATGTATGTCCACTATGTACATGCGATGCCCACGGAGGCCAGAAGGGGTCAGATCCACAGGAACTAGAGTTATGGATAATTGTTAGCCACATTATGGGTGCTAGACACTGAACCCAGGTCCTCTGCAAGAGTGTCCAGTGCTCTTAACCCCTGAGGCCTCTCTTCAGCCCCAAATACTGAGCCTTTAAAATGTATTATGACAAGAGCGCTCTAGAAACAATAGACAGGCAGTTACCTCTCTGGGTTGCTAGGAACAGCCATCAAGGTGGTTACCCAATAGTCAGTCAGTCTAGGTAACTACAGCCATAAATGAAATCATTTCTAAGTCATAATTTTGATCACAGCCATAATTTTGAATAAAATGAGACACAATATTCCTTTTAGAGAGTGGTTAAATTCTTCCTTCTCCTTTATCTATTTATCATTCAGAATGATCACCAACTAGGGAGGCTAAATGCTTTCTTCTTTGGAGAGTATAAAACCCTAAGATCCAATTAGCTTAAACTAATTAAAAAGATATTTTAAAATATTTCCAGGAGGTAGCTGTGACCACGGAACACTTTTCAAAACCACGCAATAAAAGAAAAAGCAACGTACACGTCAAGTATATCATGAACTTGAGTTTCACCCGTGTATGTGCGATACCTATGTGGGTCAGAGGTTCTCTCTGAGGACCTGAGCCAGCAGCACCTGGGGATTTGTTAAGGTACAGATTTGAGGCCTCCCACCAGGCCCACTGGATCAGAGACCCTGGGGAAGGGGCCCCGCAATCTGCACTTTAACAAGCCGTTTCAGATGTCTCAGTTCTCACTAAAGTTTGAGGATCACACATACAGAGGCTGTGCAATTAAGACAGCTGCCACTCAAGCTGACAAGGGTAATCATTTTGTTTGTCAGGCCTGTAATCAAAGTGCCATATCAACACGTCACAGGCATTACCATGTTCTTCCAAGGTAGGTTGTTTTTAGGTGTCCTGGTTGAAAGGAAGGCTGCTTTTAGCACCACCCGAATTTCATCCTCAGTCCTTAAGCAGCGTGTCTCGGCACACTGTGAAATCGTGGGAAGGGACCCGAATTTTCCCTTGCATGCTAACCTCTGTTTGGCACCGCCCTGTTTACTGTTTACTACCTGTGTTCCCTAACATTTAACTTACACTTTCTAGGGCAGAAACATTTAAAAATGGTGAGCTAGGTAACACTTAGTAATAGCCTAAAGCCTCTCAAATAACATGAATAATCATGCTTCCTTAAGAGTCACTGTACCATCAGGATAAAGGCCATTTGCACAGGGAGATTCCCCTTGTACTTGCTGTGTTCAGTGGGAAAGAGAGGGTGAATGGTAAGCCTGGAATCCTGATATGTGGTGCCCTTTGTGGCCTGTGATTCATGAAACGTTGATGAAGGGAGAGGCCGGGACGGTAATGCAGTCCGGCTGGGTCAGGCTTCCCAGCAAAGCCGGTCCGTTTCACCAGTGAGCAGAGCCTGCTGATAAAAGGCAGAGCCTCGAATGACAATCTACACACTTCCTCTTCCCTCTAATGTCATTCATAGGTCATTTCCGACGTGTAAAATGCACAGAACACTCCTCTGTGATTATATCTCAATTGACAAGTAAAAGTATATGTTTGTCATGTAGAATATGATGCCTCACATCCTTGGTTTTATAAGAAGAACACTTACATCCCCTAGTGTTTCTTGGGACTATAATGGCTTGTGATTTCCTACAGTCACTCCACTCCTGACCCTACTCCTCATTTCTGAGTGAAGCTTTTCATCCTTTGACCAATGCTTTCCCACTTACCTCCTGAGCCCCAGCCCCAGCCCTGGTCACCACCACCCTCCTTCCTTCTGGGACATCAGCTGTTGTAGATCACACACTTCAGAGTTGATGACTGTCCTTCGGTGCCTGGCTGTGTCAGTTACCCAGTTACGGTAGTGTTCCCTGGTTCCAGCGTTCACAGATGACAGTGCTTCCTTTTTCACGGTTGAACGGTATTTCATGGTGCATGCATATTAAGTCATTAGTTGACAGACAGGAATTTCCATTTCATGTCTACTGAATAATTCCACATGGAACATGGGGTTCAGAGACCTCCTCACGTAACGCTCCCGTTTCCTTTGGATCGCGTGGTAGGCAGAGTTTCCATTTTTTTGAAGGGCCTCTATACTGTCTTCATGATAACCACAAACTTGCATTCCCACCAACAGTGTGCAGGAGTTCCCTTTTCTCTCTGTCTTCTCCGGTCCTAACAAATCCCAGGTGATACCGGACTCTGGATTTCTCCTCCAGTTCCTTGATAGTTGTGTTGACTAGTTTCCACGTGCCTGTTGGTGGTCGGTGTGTCTTCTTTCAGGAAATGTCCACACGTGGTCTTCAGTCTGTTCTTAACAAGGTCATTTGTTTCCCTGTACTGAGTGGTGTACCAGCAGAGGCCTGGAGCATGTCTTCCCAGAGGCCTCAGGGGGAGGGAAGCCTGGCTGCACCGTGACTGAACTTCCGAACTCCAGAATGTGAGAGTCTAATTTTCTGTTGTGTTGAGCCACTCAATTTGTGAAGATACTTTGGCGGGGGGCTGTCCAAGAAAACTAATACAGGGTCAGGCAGACTTAGAAAATGCTCTATCATGGATGAAGAAATAAGTCATCTCAGCTTGCCTTTCATGGGTGCTGCTAGACTTCCTCTCAGGACCTCCTGGAAAATAATCAGGAAGCTGCTTGCTCTCACGGTGGAACAGTGTGCAGACCAGGGCAGAGACCATTCCTGCAAGAACCATGCATGCACATTACCATATCTGACTCATCCTAGATTACCTGAAAAATACTCCAGAAAACATCTGTCAGAAACACTTCCTGAGGAGATAGGGTTATGGCTCAGTCTGTCGAGTCCCGCTACACAAGCTCTTGAGGACCCAAGCTCTTGCCAGCACCCATGTACACAGTCAGGCAGTGCACACTACAGTCTCAGAGCTAGGGAGGTGGGACAGGACCTCTGGGACTTTCTGGCCAGCCAGCCTAGGCTCATCAGCGAGCCCCACTTCCCATCGAGTGACCCTGTCTCAAATACTAATGGAACTGTTGGCTCAGTGGATAAGGACACTTGCTGCTCTTACAGAAAACCAAGGTTTGGTTCCCAGGACCCACATGATGGCTACCAACCACCTGAAACTCCAGTTCTGAGGGATCCAACACCTTCTTCTGGCCTCCGCAGGTGCCAGGCGCTGTGTGCTGCAGTTACATACATGAAGGCAAACACTCATCAAATAAAAACAAATAAGTCCTTTCTTAAAAGAAAGAGAAAAATAAAATGGATGGTGGAGAGAGAGAGAGAGAGAGAGAGAGAGAGAGAGAGAGAGAGAGATTTCTTGAACTCAGGAAAGCAAGGTGAGAAAAGGAAAGAACTTAGGGTTTTTGTATCGTGTGATGTCAATTATCCGCCACCTTCCATCTGGTTTATTTCAGGCTCGCCTGACCAAAGAGCACCGCTGGGGGACGGCTTTGCTCTCCAGGAACCACTCCTTAGAAGAGGAATTTGAAAGGGCAAAAGCAGCAGTAGAGGTAACTTTTTTAAAACAAAAATTTTCTATTTCAGGTTTTTGAGAGTAACAGCCACAAAAGTCAAATTTCAGTGGATTCAGATAAAATGTCTGTAGATGTGAGAACATGAGGTTGTCAGGATGAGACTTCCAGCCAGAGAACCTGTGATTCCCCACCAGGATGGCAAGGAGGTGTCCCCTGTCATGCCAGTTCTGTGATTGGCTAGCTATGCCTATCTGGAGACCAGGGTCAGAAAGAACTCAAAGCCTGGCCTGGGTTCCATGGATTCCCTGATGCCCCATGAGGCCTGGATGCCTGCCTGGCACTTCAGCTCTTCAGCATCTAGCTCGATGTCTGAAACTTGATTGTCTTGCCACTCTGGTAGAAGGATTAGCCCGGATATTCTAGCAAATGGACAGCCCATCCTGACCCAAGCCATTATTTTTCTATCATTAAGGAAAATAGAATATTTTCATAGAATATTGTCCAAAATATTGTTGAGAAGTAAAACGATTTCTGTTATTCAGTCTTCCAGTGGGACGGGGGAGAAGGGAGGCTGAGGGAAAGCAGACTAAAGGCAGCTTTTGCAGGCTCTTTTGTCTGTTTCCCTCCTGGCTGGACTCAGAGCCCATCACCCAAGCCCACTGGGGTGCTCATCAAAGCTTTCTAAGTTACCGTTTGAGAGTAGAGCTTTTCACTGGACTCACGTGAGCCCGTTGGGACCCCGTTTCATTAGTGATATGTATCTTACAGACTGAAAGCACTCTTGGAACGCTGCATAAGCCTACCTATGTAACCATCTCACCACTAGAATTCAGATGAAATGATTACATTAAGGGTTCTCCTCCAGGAACTCTATACTCCGTGGTCAGTAAAATCGTATTCGCAATTTAATATTACAAGGTTTCTGTCTTCTAGAGAAATAATTTTAGCCATAATTTCATGTCATCATTCAGAAACCCAGTAAGAACACTTTTATCTCACCATGCAAAGAACACCCAAATTCCTCCTTTAATTTTAAACTTTTCTAATTAAAAAAAAAAAACAACACGCTAATGAATATTTTAGCACTCTTAGCGGGAACAACTGATACAGTCGACTGAAACCAGCTGAGCTCAATCAAATCACTCAAATGCATGGAGCCTGTAGCTTAAATTACCTTAAATGTAGGCTTTCTAGATTTAAGAGCTAATTTAAATTTATCAGTTGAACTCCTACTGTGCCTGATGTATAGAAATGGCACTCAAACTATTATTTAGAAGCATAGAACTTTGGGTCAAGAAAGACATTAGCACTTAGTCCCATTTATAATGAGAAAGATAATGAATTTAAACTCAAAAGACCTAATTATGGAATAGCAGCTTGACTAGGAAAATAACGACCCACATACTAAGGTAGTTACTCACTGAGTCTAATCCTGGTTGGGAGTGATCTTAAAACTCTCCATCCTTACCAGGCAAGCATTGTTTTTCTTTTAAAATGCTTGACCAATTATTCCCCTTTCTACTTGGACACAGACAATTAGGGCGCCTCCCCTCTTTCTGAGGAAATACTCTCCTTTGTCAGTCACTAATTCTCACAAAGCTCTTGTGCTGAAATTGGCCCACCAGCAGTTTCCATTTGGAAGGAGACTTAGCGCCATGCTTCTGTAAATAATGCCCACCTCACCTCACCAAGCTGTCTTCTCCTGGCTTCCCTTGTCTCTCTGGGGCCTCCAACATGTCCCTTCCAGCTACAGGACAACCCGTCTAGTCCTCAGTGTCCACCCCTCTATGGCTCTTTCCAGCTACAGAACCCAGGGCTTGAATGGTACTTTAAGTAGATATTCATTTAGCAAACATTACTAGTACATTAGGGTCCTGACTGCTGAACTAGAAGTGAAAGAGAAACCAGCCAGCCCTACGAGGCTGTCTAGTAAACGGCAGAGAACAGAGGACCAGCCTGGTCAACCACTTGCTGCTACCATCTGTGAGATGAGGGCTTGGATTTCTAACATCCCAAAGCCCTGTAGGTTTGTCTGCACATGAAACCGATGGTAGGTACAACAGTCTCAGCTAATCAGAAAACTGAGCAAGTTTGTTTAGCCGAAAGCCCGATTCTGGGAAACCTTTGTAACAAATGAGGAGAGACCATGTGGACCACAAGGTACTACTTATAGCCATGTAGAAAAAAAGGGGGGGGTAAAGTGTTTACACTAAGGTGATAGGAAATCCTGCGGGCTCTTCACCTCCAGGTGTTACTGAAACTAGGAGTATTGTCTAAAAACAGCAGAAGGTGTGATCTCATTCCCTCCCTGACTCCCAGCTCCTCACACCTGTCAACCTTAGGGATCAGGGTCCAGCACATGACCCGTGGAAGAACTCTTTCCCAAAATACAGCAGAGAATGTCTGTGTCCAGATGTTCACAGTAGTTATCCTCTGATGGCTCTCTTTGGGTAATTTATTTTATTCTGTTATCTGCATTTTCCAAATGGTCTGTGATAAACATGTGTTGTGTTGCTAATCAGAGGGAGTGTTGCAAGTGTAGACACTACAGTGGAATGTAAGATTCTTAATTGCATTTTTTTATTTTTTTATTTACATAATTTATTGAGAATTTCATACGTATATAAGGGGTGTGTGTGTGTGTGTGTGTGTGTGTGTGTGTGTGTGTGTGTTTGTGTGTGTATATGTACCTGTGCACATGTGAAGGTTAGAGGAAAATTTGATCAAACTCTAGTCATCAGGCTGCTGAGCCATCTCCCTGGCCCAGGATATAAGATTCTTAAAAGAAGATGGGGTTACATCTTAGATGTTCTAATGCCTGGGTTCCATCTCCAGCACCACACAGTTATAGGGCTGCACATCCGTCATCCCAGTACTTGGGAGGTGGAGGCAGGAGATCAGGAATTCAAGGTCACCATCAGCTACATAGTACGTTCAAGGGTACATAAGACCCAGTCGAAAAGAAAAGAACAAACATTCACTAGTTGGACAGAGGAACGGGTCAGGGAGGAGGATGAGAGAGTAGTGGGGTGGGGGGGTTGAAGACGATCACAGTACATTGTATACAAGTATGAACTTGTCAGAAATAACAAGAAGTAAAATAGAATTATTGCAGATTGCCCTCTCAGAGGAGACTCTAAATGTGGTGGCATCCAGATGAAGGGGCTAAAGAGACGACTCAGCCCTTAGGAGTGTGCATTGCTCTCCCAGAGGACTCAAGTTCGGTTCCCAGAATCCATGTCAGGCAGCTCACAACCACCTAGAACTCCAGCTACAGGAGATACAGTGCTCTCTTCTGGCCTCCACAGACACCTGTGGTTATGTGCACACACAGACACATAATAGAAAAATAAAATGCTTTTTCAAAAGATCCAGATGAGAGTCCCGGGAACACGCTGGACTTTTCCCAGCTCTCTACCTTGTATTTTTAAGTCTGATGTTTCTTCTTGTCCGTACTTGTTTTGTCACCACTGTCTCAGGATGTTCCCTCTCCTCCGGGTCCCCTCTCTTCCATCTTCTCCTACTTTTCAGTCTGGTCCCTGAGCTCAACACACCAAATTCATCATTCAGAGTCCTCCACTCTCTTCTCTGTGGGAGCACTATTCTCCCAGGTCCTCGTGCAGAGGAGTCTTTCGTGCCACTGACCTCGTAGCTGATGTGGCAGCACCCAGGAAAGTCAGTCTTGACCCTCCCTTACTGTTATGTCACTCCAGCTTCTCCTTCCTTACCGTGATCACTGGGTCTTTCCTGGTACATTTTTGCTGTTCTTTTTCTTGTGTGGCCTCCTTGGAAAGGGCGCTTCATCTCATATTCACCACACGTTCTGGGTAGTTTTCATTGTCAACTTGACACAACCTGGAGCTCCCTGAGAAGAAGGAACCTCAACTGAAAAGTTCCCCAGATCAGACTGGCCTGTGGTCACGTTTGTGAGGACCATCTTGAGTAAAGTTGATGTGGGTGGTGCCGTCCCTAGGCACGTGCATCTGAGCTGTATAACAGAACTAGCTGAGGGAAACAGCAAGCCAGTGAGCAGTGTCCCTCCCTCCCCTGCCCAGGCTTCTGCCTGGGTTCCTGCTTGAGTCCCTACCCTGACTTCCCTCAATGATGACCTGTGACTGGGAAATGTAAGCCAAATAAACTCCACAAGTTGCCATTGACCATGGTGTTTATCACAGCAACAGCAGAGAGCTAACAGAACAGAACAGAACCCCAATTCCTTCTAAAATAATGCCCCATCCCTCCAATACAGTCAATAAATATTTCCCGAGTGAGGGGCTAGATGGTTGTTGATCACCACCACATGGATGGCCTTTCCTTCTGTCTTCTTTCTGATCTATCTGGAGTGCCATCTACCCGGCTAGGGTAAGAATATTTGGCTTGACAGCAGAACGTGGAGTTCTACTTGAAGACTGGTGACTTATCCCCTGTGGCTACCTCTGCCCGACATTGACAACAGCCTGGGAACAGCTCAGGGAATTGCCAAGTAGCTGTGCCATGAGGGGAACTGGGCAAACCTTATACGTCAAATCCCATAAACTCACACTATTTGCTCTAGAAATGTGCGATGTAGCTGACCACTTGCCGTCTTTATGCTGAAATGCCCTAAAATCTGTTACTAGAAAAAACACTACTAAACACACACGCATACACACACACACATGCGTGAGCTTATTGCATATGTAAATGACCTGAGAGTCTGTTAATATTCAAAGGTTGATATTCCTCCTGGTACCCTGAGCTGTTAGTTCTAGGCAGTGTTTCTTACAAGGGAGACTCTTTGCCTCCATGTCTTACATTTTATTGAGAAAAAAATAAAAAACACCAAAAATTCATTTGTGTCCCAAGTATCATAATTTTCAAATAGCTGGTTCTTCTCTTTGGGACTTTAAAAAATGTGCATCTTAAAAACAACAAATACGGGGCTGGAGAGACGGCTCAGTGGTTAAGAGCACTGGCTGCTCTTGCAGAGGACCCAGGTTCAGTTCCCAGCACCCATGTGGTGGTAACTCCAGTTCCAGGGCAATCTGATGCCCTCT